TTTTCTATATTACTTACCAAACTTGCCAAGCTTCCAAAATGATCCAATTTCACATTCTATCATCAATTTCAACACTCAAACAATAATTTCCATCATAGTACAACAACTATTAGTCCCCCAGCTTTTGCAAAATTATAAAATGGTCCTATCATTTTTCTAAGGCTTGTAGAATACTTACCACTTCATTTCTAACCCTACATAATTTTTCCATAATTTTTCTCACATTTTTATGCATAGGCCGAATACTCCAAAGATAGGGTTCCATGATTTTCACTTGATTTCAATTGATTCTAGCATGAAATCAACCTCTATTCAACATTTCAAAAACTCTAGAATCAAACCCCCTAACTCAATTTCATTAAATCACAATTTCCCCTACTTTTAGGGTTCAGGATGAAACTCACTTATGCATTTCTAAGAGGTTTTAATCATCAAACAAGCTTGGAAATGATTCTAACGCCTCAATAGCCTTAAAATCCATCATCAATTCATTAAAATCTAACATGAACATAAACCCCAAATTTTGGGAACTTAGCATTCAAGCAAGATTTGCATGCAATAATGGTAATAAATGATAAAATTTTTAGAATATAACAATTTTCTATTTCACGGTTTGATCCAAAATACAAAGGAAATTGCTCAAAAATGAAAAATAAAATTTCTCTTACCTAGGGTTGGGAATTACGTCTGTAATGGAGAAAGATGAGCACAATTGTCATGAAATTTTGATTAATTTCATGTTAATTTGTCATTTATTAAGCTTAAATGAATTTAAAATTCATTTAATTAGGAAATGATAATTTTATCATTAATGAAACTTGATAATTACATCCATACCAAACCACATGTCCCTTATCATCTTCCCAAATCAAATATAAACAAAATATTATACCCTTGACAACTTTATTCATGCAACTTTCCAAAATTTTCAATCTTGCCATTTTCATCCAACTATTCAAATTGAAGATGGAAATAAACTCTCAAATCAAATGATCTATATCATTTTCCATCATTTTAAAATGTGGAAATAATATTTCTAAGTTTAATTTAATGTCCTTCAAATTTTGTCAAAATTTAGGGTCTGTTTGTTTACCGTAATTGGAATTACGGAATTGGTTTTCCCCGAATTCCCGTGTTTGTTTCACGTAATTTGTTTTCCGGAAAATATTTTCCCGTGTTTGTTTCACGTAATTCGTTTTCTGGAAAATGTTTTCAAGTGTTTGTTTCACATAATTGGTTTTCCTGAACGTAATTCATTTTCCTAGTAACAAAATTTCCTTTTTGTTTTCTGGAAAATGACTCACGGATTCATTTTCCGTAAGTCATTTTCCGAACTTTTCACTTCAAAGAATAAATACTCAAAATAATTTTATTTTATGAATTTAATAATAATAAAATATTTTAATATCATTTTCATCAAAATATTATTTATTAATTTATTAATATATATAATAATATATTATATTTTTAATATTATATAAAAAATCAATTATATAATAATATAAGATATTATATTTTTTTTTAATAATATAATAAAAAATTTATATTTAATAATGAATAATATTATTTATATATTTTAATAATATTTTAATAAAGATATTTAAAATATACTAATTAATATTTTTAAAATATAATATAATACTATTACTTTAATAAATAATTTATAATATTTATAATATTTTTATTTCACTAAAATATAAAAAAAATATTTTTATTAATAAAATTATAAAAATACTATTTAATAATAAATAAATTATTTTTAATAATAAAAATTTTTTATGATAAATAATATTATTTATTGTATTTAATATTTGTAATAAATAATTTTTAAAAAACTCTTCAACTAGTGGAAAAAAGGTTTAAATAACATCTTACAAACATCATAAAACGTCTTCCAGATGTTTTTCAGAAAAAAAGTAATTCATTTTACTGAAAACATTTTCCGAAAAACGTTTTCCAGAAATGTAATTCATTTTCCAGAATTCAAATTCCAATAATTCATTTTCCAGTAATTCAAATTCCAGTAATTCATTTTCCGGAAAACCAATTACAGCCAAACAAACAGACTCTTATGTTCGATCCGATTTACCAAATTTTTTTACCGGGCTTTAACACTTTCTTGCTTTTAATACAAATTTTGGATCAAGAATCTGATTCCCACAAAAACGTCATTCTTAGGGGTGAACTATTCATTTATGAAATAATTTTTTTGGAAATTGCCACTTTGGTTCTTAAAATTTTCCTAATTTTATACTTTGGCCACTAAACTTTCTAATTTTTTGTTTTGGTCATAAACCAAAATTTGGGGTATTACACTTGTGTCTATTTCTAGCCATTGGGATATTTTGGAGCCGTTGGAATCCTTTAATCCCCTCAATTTGATCATTTCTACACAGTGGTTTCGAAACCACTAGAGAGGGTGTTGAAACCCTCTTAAAAAATGTGATCGTTTGAATAAGGATTTTTGAAACCAGGCAGGGGGTTTTGAAACAAGGGGTGTAGAGGGGTTTTTGAAATAAGGGGTATAAAAACCAGTCAGGAGGTTTTGAAACTAGGTAGAGGGGGTTTCAAAACCATGCTGAAATTTTTGAAACTTTGAGCATTCTTCCTCAGAGGTTTCGAGACCTTAAAAGGGCTTGGAAACCTTACACCAATAATTGAATATTTTGACTTATTTTGAGTTTCTAAACATAATTTAAGGTATAGATCAAGTCAAAAATACTTGGAAAGAATTTTTCAATTTTTGTGGACTTTGAATTATTTTTGAATCATTTGAGCAAATTCAATTAAGTCCAAAAATATTTTACCTTTATTTGTTATATCAAAATATAGGTTCAACACATTTTCTTATTAAGTTGAATCTGGTTATCTTAACATGATATGGATCTATGGTAATACCCCAACATGGGTATTCTTCATGAATCATTCTTATTCGAGTGTTGAACATTTTTTACTTCGAATGGCCTTATCCTCATGCAAATTATCAGCAACTAATAGCCTTAATTTAGGTCAACAAAACTTTTATAAAAGGTTTTTATTCTTTCTTATTTTGATCTAGTGTTTAAGAGTTTCTTTTTACGAGGTATCATAACCAAATGGACACTCATGAAGTGATTAATACTTCTAACAAAAATGCATCGAGTTTTTCCTATGGGTTGAGATATTAGATAATCTCGAAATAAATCATGGCCCTTCTTATTAAGACTATCGTTTGTTTCTTGATCGATTACTGATGTTTAAAACATCACAAAGAAGTGTGAGAAGCTTTATTCTTGAGTATTTTGATCTTTTAGAATTTATTGTTTGAAAATTGGAGAATGTCTTTATTTCTCCTGCATCGCTTATTTTCTTACTTTGGCTTTTATTTGATGTCTCACTTCTCCATTTGAGGCATATTAAGCTTAATAAGCTTCAAGGACCTTCTTAATTATCGAGAGATTCTCCTATTTGATAACTTTTTTTCTCCTTTCTATTATTTTTAGAATTTAGAATAATGAAAGAATTTAATAAAACAAAAACAATGTCCTTTTCTTCAGGCTTTCAATTGAAACAAGTCAACAATTCAATGAATATCAAATAAATAAACATTTTTAATAAAAAAATTATAGCCCTTTGACAAGTGTTAAGATCAACAGGTTGGTTTCTTATTTTCCTATGGTTTCAATCATCAAGATGTCATTCCTTTCTCGATCCTTACAAACATTGTGACATGTCCCTCTATCTCGGCTTAACATTCCAATTGACTGAGGACAAAATGAAACAACTAGTGTATTTTGTTACTAGACCTTTTAGAACGCTTATATTTTGGTTTTCTAAAATCTTTTGTTTGTTCATGCTTCATGAAATCATTTAGTAGAGGCAGTACAAAAACATTGGTCTAAAAACAAAATTCCCGAATGCTTGTGTGATGTTGACTATAATAGGTGTTTCTCAACATCCCTTAGTCTATCTTTACCGAAACTCCTTAATAATTCAAACCTCAAACCTTTTCGTTTCCTTGAATTTACTAAATTTAATTTTGTCTGCTTTATTTGACGTAGCTGAATGATTCATCTGGTTACAAAACTTTCGACATGATAACCACAATGGAGCAAACACCAAATTACCAAGTATTTGATCAATGTCATGGTTTGAATGTAAATTATTCATAAAGTCAGGCTTTTGAATTAACTTTATAACCAAATACTTCAACGGAATAACTCAACTTTATTACACTTATCTTATGATGATACTTTATTAATTTTGAGTATACAGATTAAAGATTTCTTAAGCTTATCGAGAAGAACCTATTATAGTTTGGGTGTCATTGAAAATCAAAAGGTTTCATCTGTAGATTTCAATCCCCAAGCAACTAAAGTAAATTAAATTCATCTACTCCACCATTCTATAACATTGATGATAAATAATCATAGTAATAATAATAACACTAATAAATATTGATATAATCATATATAAAATAATAAAATAAGAATAAAGGGGAAAAGAAATTTGAAATGATTTTTCCGACGAAAATAAGTATCTTCATTTGCACAATTATATTTTTAACATTTTAATTAAAGTATAATTTATCCTTCAATGTATTAAATTATTTCTTTCTTTAACCTATAAAAAGATGCATTCACACATTGTAAAAAAAGTTTTCTTTGATTATCAATAATATTGAATACTCTTTGAGTACTTTCTTTGTGAAATTTATTTTTCTTTCATCTTTTAGAGATTGTTTCAGTGTATTCTTTCTTTAAGGTTGTAGTGGTTCATTTTCATCATTCTTTTTGACAATATCCTTTGTTAGAGGTGTCGACACTCGTTTTTGCCGGGGTTTTGTCTATTTAATTAATATTAATTATAACAATTATTATTTCTATTATTATTTTTATTTTTTATATGTTTTTTTTTAATTTTTTATTATTTTTACAGGCTTTACAAACCAAAAGTGGGCCCAAATACAACTCAGGATGCCCAACAAAGCAAATTGGGCCCCAATTATAGTCTGGCCCGAATCAACCTTCAAGACCAACATAATAGGCCCAAACCCTAACTTAATTAGGGTTTGTTGAAACCCTAACTATTCATTAGCTCTAGCCACCGCAGCCAAGAGCTTCTCCCACCGCCGCCACTGTTCTGACCGTCTATTCTCATCATCATCACTGTACTAACATCATCATCTCGCATCTAGTGAAAACAATAAACAAGATGTCAGTTTGCACCTAACCAAACACCAAAACCAAAAAAAATTGATAAAATCCTTAAAACTCGGATTTTCTTACCAGCCGAACACACCCCCACTATCAATCCATCATCATTTTCTCTATCAAGCTTCACCAAACACACAAATGATTCAAAGATAAAAGCAAACAGGAAAGAGAAAAATGAGGAGAGCATTCGGAGAAGATTCGTGTTTTTGAAAAAGAAAAATAATGATAAAAATAGAGAGTTTTAGGGGGAAATGAAAGAAAAACAGTGAGGGGCATTCGGTTTCTTCAAAAGCAAGAGTGAAAAGTGGGGAACTTACCTTGGGTTCTACTTCCCCAGCAACGAGGAGGCTTGGTCTAGCATTGAAGGTGATTTGTTCTTTTACTTTTGGGGTTGGTTTGTGTTATTTTAGGTGATTTGTGTCTCGATTTTGAGTTAGGAAAGGGTAGTTTTATTTTTAGTGGGTCACCAGCCCCTCGTCAGGGCCGGTAGATTTCGTCAGGGCCGGAGGATTTTGAGAAGAAAATGAAAAAGAAAAAAAAATATGAGAGGAAAAAGAAAGGAGAGCGGCCGAAAGGAAAAGTGAGGAGGAAAGAGGGTTTTCGGTCGAAAATCACATAAGAGAGGTATTTAAACTCCTCAAAACGATATTGTTTTAGAGGGATTATGGATTCCTGAATTTAGCGCATAGGCTAATCATGTAAGAGGTCATCCGAGTTATGTATTTTTATATTTTAGTTACTAAATGAAACTTTCATTTTTTTAATTTGAGCTCCTTATTTTCATCATGTTTTATTTTAGCCCTATTTCGTGATTTTTGAAGTTTATGAGTTTGGTCACCTGATTTTTGCGCGCTTTTTATTTTAGTTCCTAGGCTTAGTTTTATTAAATTTCTTATTTATTAGACATTTAACATGCTGTTTTTGAATTTTTTATTTTAATCCCACACATGTTTATGGGTTTGCTTCGATTTTGGTCCCTGGAATATGTAATTTTCATGCAGGATGACTCATGTTGGTTTAATCAATAGATTAAGTCCTTAGATTTTCTATTATAAGATTGGATTTGCTTATCCTTTCATTTTTATCACTATGCAATTTATTTTTTTTATTTATGTACATATGTTCATTTACCACTTTTTTTTGGAGGTTTGTTGTTTGTGTTATTTAGTCGTTTGTATAATTCCAATGGATATTTAATATATATATATATATATATATATATTTAATAATTTTATGTCACGTGTGTATGCTTTAGAATATATAAGTGTCTCTTACTATTTATTACCACTGTTTTCTATGTTAATTTATGTTATAGATACTTGAAGAGTATTAATCAATATTTTAGTATAAATGTACGTAGACACTGCATTTTTAATATATTTGCAATGGTTGTCTTGATTTCTTGTTGGTTGTATAATTTAATCCATAAAATCACCATCTTTATTATTTTGATCATCATTTATATATTTGTTAATTTATCGCTAGTTGTAATATTTTCAAATATTATTTTACTTGAGGAAATTATATAAACTTGCCTTACCTGACAAAAAATGTGTTTCCAAGAATTTTTCGAACAAAATAATGCCTTTTTTATATTCAAATAAATTTGTTTTTTAGTATAATTAATATATGCATTTGGGCAATATTATTTTGTATGGGGAATCCATGGAAATGCCCCCTTAACTGGCAAGGAAGGTATTTCGAGAATTGTTCATTCAAAATAACAACCCTTATATTTTTCAAAAAAAAACATAATTTAAATGTATATTCGAATTTGCCAATTTCGATATTTAGATGATGTATAATCGCTTAGGTACTGATTTCGGGCGTTGTGGGGGTGCTAATCATTCCCCACACGTAATCGACTCTCGAACCATTTTCAAAACGAATTTCTGGTTAAATGCAGATCGTTTTTTTATCTTTTAAAAATATTTTTCTCAAAAATTATTTTAAAATGTATTTTAGGTATTCGACCTACCTAACTCAAAGGTCGATGGCGACTCCAAATCTATTTCTTCCTTATTTTAAAACCCAACATTTTCCAATATTAAGTTGGATCTCTCCCCTCCATAGCCCCAAAAAGCTTAAGGACCGTTCCAACATCTTGGCGACTTTAGTGGGGACATTAGAGAGTCGGGCCATAATCGATTATACATCATCTTTTTCGTTGAAAATGGTAAATTTGAAAGATATTTAAATTTTGATCCTCATGTTTTGTTTGCATTGCATCGTACATATTTTATTTATTAGTTGTACTACAGTGTGATTTGCATGTTTCAGATTTCTGACTTTTGTTTTCGTCTGTTGGTTTTTGGATCGAGTAAAAGGATTGTGAGTTTCCCCCCACTCGCGCTATAAGCATTCAAGTATTCAGAGCCTTCTAACTATTCTATGTCCAATTAGGTAGGGGTGAACGCTACGCTTACGTGAGAAAAATTATTTTTCTCCGCATGGACTTTAGCAAGTAACCTTTAGGGTATATATGCCTTGTGTTTACGAGTGAAACATTGAGTTTCCTCGCATTGAAATGGGGAAATGCATCCTCTCGAATTGAACTCGACCCCTTTAATCCTATAATGGGTGAGGATCAAGGGTCTGGCAGACCCAAGGGGGCACCAGCAAAGGATAATTCGAGGACCCTATTAGTAATACCAAAACTATGCTTATGTTATACTGAATTTATGTATGCGGTTCTTTGGGGAAACTCACTTTAACCTTTTCCTCAAATTTATTTATTTATTTTACAAAAAGCATGACAATTAGAAGAGTATACGATTAGGTTCATTTTTTCAAACAAGCATGCGAACTAGATGGCATGAAGTTAGGATTTATATGTTGAATAGAGCATGGAGGTTGAAAACATGTCTGAGTAAAACTGTTATAAAAGCATGTCAGGGTAGATACCATGTTGGGTAGGATCTTTTCCTTTCGTAAATATTTTTCTGCTTTTTGGTTAAGTGGTACTAACAGTTTCTTTTGTTTTATCTTTTTGTTATCTGCCTTATGTTCATATTTGCATTTTCACATCATAACCAAACAAGGTGTTGATTCACAAGTGATTGACCAAATCATAAGGCTTTTTTATCGACATAAGAGTTCCATAACCAAACAAGCTTGTCTATATAGTGTGAGGAACACTTATGATCTGATGAATGTTGTTCTATAGTGATCGCTTTTGGAATTAACACCTTGTGTATTTGCATCTTCATTTGCATTATCGTTTTGCATTAGCTTATTATTTTTTCTATTTGCTTCTATAGTAATCTTGTTATATCATTTGAACTAACTTGTTTTTATGATCGCTTTTCTTTTTTCTTGCATCGCATGATCATGACATAATCAAAAGGTTTTGATTTATGGGTGGTCATCAGAGTAAAAGGTTGTCATGATGGACAAAGGGTTTTACAGTCAAGTAAACTATAACACAGCTATGGAATGGCCTCTTGAGGATACTCCGAGGATAGTGGAGAGCTATGCACCCAAAGATTGTATGTCTGATGAAGAGCAAAAGGTGATAAGAGAGCAAATGTCTAAAATGATGGATAGATTAGTTGCTCTGACCCAGGGAAAAGAGACTTATGCAAGAAAATGGAAAGAGCTCGATGAAAACGATCTTGCAACGTCAAATACACAAGGGACTACTTTAGGAGCAAGCTAATCCTAGCCAATCTGATAAGTCACGCACATTCACCATTCGTATCAACAAGTTGTCTGGAGACTCCAAAGAAATGGTGACAACTGTAGAGGTTCAGAAAGATGAAAAGAAGCCCTACAATCAGAACTCATGTCATTTAAGAGTTTGCTCCCAACGTTAAGAAAAATAAACCTGAAGATTCCATTTCATTTCAAACCAAGATGTGACCCTCATTTTGATTCTATCCCTATATCATATAAGAAGTTGTGTGATAAGTTTTTATAAGCTCGAAAGGTGGCCCCGCATTATATGAAACCTTGGCAACCTCCATACCTAAATTGGTAGGACATCAATGATCGTTGTGAATATCATGTCAGAGCCCAAGGACATTCCATTGAGAATCGCATCACCTTCAAGCATCAAGTCCAACATCTTTTGGATCAGTGAGTATTGAGGTTCGAAATCAAAGGTCGACCTAGTTTGGTAACTGATTGCCTATTAAGACAGAGCCAAAAGTGTTCAAAGATAATGATATCAGTGGGGACATCTAGGAGGAAGAATGTTTACTAAAGTAAGAAGCTCAAGTTCATCATTTGAGGAGCGAAAATGACAAATTGAATAGAGAGATGGAAGTCATCTGTCATGGTTTTCAAAGGATTAATCAAGACTTTAAAAATTATGGTATAGGAAATACCCCAAAAGAGTGGACAACAAGGGTCACAAAACTAAAAAATGAAGTTGAGAAATGGAGAAAAAATTGCAAGGTGCATGAAGGTCGTGCCAAGAAGTTCTCTTATGATTTACGAATTACAGAAGAAAAGCACAATACACCTGTTATTGATTTAGGAATATGTCAAGTCGAAAATCAGAAGTTGAATATGTATATAGCCAATATGGAAGTTTTATATCAATGCCACAAGCATGAGAATGATGTTGAGCTAGAAGCCACTAGAACCAATAATAATTCATTGATGAAGATTGTAGATGATTAAGGAGATATTGAATAAGAATTTCATAACCACAAAGACTTTCTTACAAGGAAAGATGAACAACAATGTCTAAAGCTCCGAGAATTGACACATAAGATGGAGAAAAAGACGACGACATGAAAGAAGTTATGATTCAAGCAAGCAATGTGGCTCATAAGTTGATTTATTTAGCTGACTTTGCAAGAGAATTGAAGTAGATTGACAACTCAACACTCGAATAAGAGAGGAAGTTAACCTGGCTTCTGAAAGAAATAGAGAAGTTAGGAGTTAAGGCTAACCCTTATATGTAAAGTTTGTTTGACATACTGAAACCCTTGTGTTCAATGAAAATTGTTTTAAGATGGTCACTCTGGAATAACACATTTTGCATACATGCATTTGCATCGTATATTTTGCATTCCCATTTCTGTATTTTCGCATTCGTATATGCATTTTTGCATATGTACATTCACATATACATCATACATTGCATAATATACATTACATAATATACATTGCATCTTAACATGTATTAATCGCAGATCTTGGTAGTATCTCGTGAAGAATCTTGTTCAAGAAATATTGAAGGTAAATTGAGGCCACCATATTTGTACCTAGAGAAGATTGGAGAGCCAGAGATATGAAGCTTGGGGCATGCTGCTAAGAACTGTGGGGTACCGAGGAGCAAGTTACAAAATCTGATCAATTCGGGGAGCATGGTTTTTTAATAAGCAAGTGGGGCATTAGATTGTAATAACCCTGAATATCCAGCCAAGCACCCATTTCTAATGAGTAATGGGGCATTCTAATTAGGAAAAGATCATTTCATTCATCATGAAGCTCTATTTCACTTACAGGGTCTTCGTTGAGCTTGTTTTTGTTCTTCCTTTCTTTATTTACTAAATATTTTGTAAATATTTTTTTATGATTGAACTTATGCTACTTTTAAGGCTATGAGCAACGATTCAAATTTTTAATTCATTAG